CAATGCTTTTGCATGTGATGCTCCTCTGGGCGATGTGATCGTCGCATGTGTGTTGTACGCCTGTTGCGGATGAAGATAAAAGTTCGCTGCCCCTTGCGGCTTTTCACTACACCTCTGCAAACTTCCTCTTTTTTCTCTTGTTGTGCTTGAATGGAAGTTCGGTCAAATCGCATGTACAGCAATGTTCCGCACACACACATACATATGTGATACATGCGTACGCATGTACATCATGTACGAGTGAATCATTGTATGTGCATATGTACAAACTACGCCGCTGCTATACAGGACTTGGTTTCGTGTGTATGATATGGAACACGTGCTCTTGCTCAGCTCAAAGTTGTCAGTATTTAGGAGGGTTCTGAAACCCTTATGCAACTTATGCATTTCAGGCCTTATCCTCTTTAACTTTTCGTTTTGTAGGAGTGCTTGAGTCAGCAAGTACAGATTTCAGGCCTCAGGGCTCACGATTGTTCCCGACGAAAAACCATAGCTCCTGGCAGCAACTTTTCATGGAGACATCTGCCTGTTATAAAAACTGTGTTAGCGTGTGAGGATTGGGACTTCCCTGTCCCAGGGACATGTACTTGCTGGCCTGTCTCCCATGGAACATGTACACGTTGACACGTCTTGTTTCAAAAGTTCTATTCTTTTCTTAGTACTGAAAATTTGTACATTGGGAGCTGACTTTTCAAGCAAATCCTTTTTGTGTTTTTCCTCTGGACGTCCAAACCTTTCCGAAAGTATGTACGTGCACGCAAACTCAAAGAATCTCTGGGGAAGTTTGGATGTGTTCTCGGAAGCATTGAAAACTGGAGGGTTGATTGCTTAGTCTTTGTGTATGGCCGATATATACATGAGTCTTCGTGCTCGTGAATCGACTCAGTCGACTTCAAGCAAAGCCACCGGAGTCTCGCAGAGTCCTAGTTTGACCTCACAGCAGGGAGGGAAGCAATTGTGTTGCAAATGTGTTCGTGTTTGAGGCCGTGCTTTCGATGCTCGCCGTTGGCGCCTTTGCAGTTGCCTGGCTGAAACCGCTATTCTGTCATTGGTCATGCAATTTCTACTTGAAGCGAGGAGATGCAGAGGCGGTGTAGTGCACCTTCGCCAAGTCGTCACACTACCCCACAGGCCAAGAAGTTTACACCATTTGGACCTTTGGTCCCGACATGGCTTGGGGCTTTGAGGGGCATGTGCTGAGCTCAGGATGAGTCGATGCAAGCCCTGGCCGCTGATGACGAGTCTGGCGCCCTCAACTTGCTTCAGCACAAGGGAGCCCAAGCCGAGGAGAGCTGATGGAGAGCTGAGTTTGGGTAAAAAGCTGCACTTTCAAGTTGACGGCCTCCAGAGCCGTTCGGACTTTCTCGCAGTCTTTTGCTGTTTCTCACCGCACGACTTGTAAATCGATGCACGAGACGGCGCTCTCACGGCGTCACCAGCTTTCCCACGTTTCTGGCATCGGCGGGGAACTGTCTGTAGGCCAGAGGCGTAGGGTATCATCCTAGGCGGTTTTCATGATCATCGGGTCCTAGCTGGTCACAGCTCCTGGTAGGACGAGAATGTGGAGGAAATGATGAATGCTGAGATGGCCATGGAGATGTCTGCTCCAGGCCGGTATTCTTGCGTTGCACAGGCAGAATGAAAGGAATCCTAACATGGGGACAAAATAGCTTTTGAGAGCCTGCCTGAAAAAGTCAGCACCCTTTGATCGAAAGGAACGGCCTTCTTGGAGGAGGGCGAGGGGCGCTTCAGGCTCTTCTTTCTTGAAGTGGCACGAGTCATACAGGCAGTTCTTCAGAGCAAGGGGTCATGTTCAGTCCAGCAAACCCGCGTGGTCAGTTGTCCTCTAGAGTCGCAGGGGTTGACAGCCAACATCCTCCTACAACTAGACGGGTGAAGCTGTAAAATGTGAATAACCATGAGAGAGGTTTGCCCTGGTATCTGTCTGGCCTCTCTCATATCCGCGACAGCCATATGTTTCATGTATGTTTTTCAAACAGCGCGGCCAGTGACTGAAGGATCTCAGTGGCTGTCGACCGCTCCAGTCTCTGCCTGGCTTCTGCGTTAATGCTGTTGTTGTGCCGGGCAGGTGCGGCGTGATCTACTGTGCCTTGGCAAGATTACTCTTCTTTCCTAGCACAGGCCGAACACCAGGGGCGTAGAATGCAAGCATGTTATCCGAGTCTTCTCTTTGCATTGCCTCCGTCTTTCGCTGTGTTAAGCCGTTCTTTCTGTTGCTCCTCTGCCTACGCCCTAAACCCTCCCGCCTCAACATGGCTGAACACAAAACTCTAAGACCCTGAAGCCTAAGCCCTGAAGCCCCAAACCCAAACCCGAGAACACAATCCGAAAGGATAGCGAGATTGTTGACGCCCGTGTCTTTTTCCCCTCCTTTGTATTTTGGTTGTTCCCTGTTTTTGCTCGACCGGTCTCCGAAAGAAGCAAATGCCCAAGCCCCGGCTCTTTTCTTTCCAGCGTCGGTCAGAGGGGGTTGTTAGAGCTCTCCTCGCTCGGGACCCAGGTCCTTGTCCGGGTCACCTGGCACGGGTCTCCTCCCACGTCTGCCGAGAATCCTGTAGCGTATCCCGGGCGTGCCCACCTTCAGACAATCTTACAGAGCACCGCTGCAGAGTATTTCGCGGATCCATGTGGAGTGCCCTATCCCTGGCGTGCCCGCTGCCAGGGAGCCAAAGAAAGGGAAACACGAAACAATCCACCCATTTTACCCTACAGTCGCTGGGAAACCCCAAAATACCCAAAGCCTTGGAAAGCACTGCACAACATCACAGTTTTTGGATAGGATGTCAGGCAAGGCCGACAAAATCAGATAAATTGACCAGTAACTAGGTCACATGCGCGCGAGGCGCCTTGCTACTTTCAAGGGTGTGCATGTGCTTACTTCCTAGGTTTTTGTACGATTTTAGGAGAATTTCAGGTGTTTACAAGAGCCAAAACTATTCACTTTTGTTGGTTTTCAACAGTAAGTGTCTTTTTCGAGGTCTCTTAGATGCTGTGAACCCGAAAGACTCGCAACAACAGTAAGTGTCTTTTTCGATAAAACGCTGTAAAATACCGGTGTCGCGAAAGGCATGGATGCTTCTGACAGATATTCTTGTTCCACATCCTTGTGCAGTATGTTGTGCAAAGTGGCGAAAGCGCTGAACCTAGTAGTTAGTAGTGTTTTGGGCATAAAACACTGTAAACACCACTGTTTTGGGCACGGTCGCGAAAGGCATGGACGCTTGTGACAGATCTTGTTGTTCCACATCCTTGTGCAGGATGTTGTACAAAAGAGGCGAAATCGCGGTAAATACTAGTGTTTTGGGCATGGACGCAATATGAATGACGTTCTTACCCCCCGCCCCCCCCCCCCCCCCCTCCCCCCCTCCCCCCCCTCTCCAGATGCGTGTAACCAACTATTACACTGCTGCTTTTTGTGTGGGTCATCTTGGTCAATCTTCATACTTCCACATGATCGGTTCGTGACTGCGGTGAATTTTAGGTTGATTTAGCGTTCTCACCAACGTACGGTAGAAATGCAGTTGCTTTTGGTCCGCCGCATGGACCAACAGTTTGATGTCTCATCGACTAAAATTCCGCTGCCGATCAGTCAACCTAAGCCCCACACCCTAAAGAAGATGCAATAAAAACGAGACAACCAATGCCAACCATAACTGAGGGCAGTCAACGACAGGAATAAGCCAAAAAAGGACACGGACAAGCAGATAGTGAAGCAGAGAACCAGATTCCACGAAGACGCCCTTAATGGGTAGTCCCTGCAGAAAGCTTGACGAGAATGACCTGCGTTTCCAAGTGGTTCAACAAGCCAGGAAGCGAGGTCTCGGGGTATTTTTAGCGCTTTGCGGGCTTTTTCAAGGCGCGGACGCCCGTGGGAACTTTTGCTGCGCACAGAGCCGAAGCGCGGTTTGCTGTGGACCAGGACCGCTGGGGCTCCTGTTGTCGGTCCGATGTTCTTCCGTTCGCCCCCTTTCCCATGCTGACGCAGTATGATTACCCTGAGCAGGGTTTGAAGAGGGTGACCCCTCTTGCTGTCTGCAAGCGACCCTGGCATGCGGTGTCAGCGAGAACCCAGCACCTCCAACACCTTTTGGTCCTTGTGGGAGTCAGAAGAGCAGATGTGAGGAGCCCGCTGCCACAACGGTGGCGGCCTGGCCATGTGCACCTTGGCCGATGAATTGTTTGAGGTGCTGCCATGTGGGTTTCAGGATGTTCTGATGCAAGGGATCAGCATTTCTGCGTCTTCGGACTTGTTTTGCTTCTGTCTTTGACTTGTGCAAGTTACTCTGCTGTAAGCTAGTATGCTGAGACTTTGTGGGAAGTTCGAAGCTGGGGCTCCTTTTGTTGTAGGCTGCTGGGCCCTGCATGTACAACCGAGGCATGTGAGCTGCAGCCCATATGCAACCGCGGCATGTGTGTCCGCCAAAGTCGGTTTCAAGCACCATTGTTTCAAGCACTTTTGTTCAAGCACTCCACTGCGTGCGATGTGCAAAAAGGAGTTGGGTAGTAGGTGTCAATCATGCTGTTGCAAGCAGCTAGACGATTGTTTTGAACGAGCATTCGTTGAGGCGCTTGCTGAGTTTGTGACCGAAGACACACCTGGATTGAATGTGATTCAAGACATGCCAGCAGCCAGTTTTGTGACACGTCCGTCTGCCTTTGAGTTTAGCAATTTCTGACAGGATTGAGCAGGTTAAGTTGCGTTTTGATTTGTCTGCCTTGTTTGTGGAGGCTGTCAGAAACGGATTTCGCCAGCAAGATTCCGGACTGGGGCGAGGTAGTTGACAGTCCGCCACCAAGGTTCCTGAACTGCGCACATCTTGCAAAGAAGCTATCGTCTCGCCATAAAGGCTGTGCTGTTGGGGATTTTTTTATCATAGCTTTTGAAGGCTCAGGGCAGAGGACTTTAGATTGGTCGTGTCTGAAATCGGTCCAAGTCGGGTGCTGCTACCTTTGCCCACTGAGAATCGACCTACGCCTCGATGAGCTTCGCGAAGGTCAGATTTTTCCTGCGAAGCTGTTGGAGACAGGGATCGGAGAAGTGCATGCAATCACATGGCAGGCATGCCTCATGATACATGACTGCACGCGCGCAGTTCCACATTCCGTGATGTTGTTAGCGCCGGCCAAGCTGCTGAGACTGTGACGTTGAGCAATGCCGAGTCTCGCGCAGGGGCCTGGGCTTGGCGTACTCAAGGTCGGAGCCTTGACACACGACAGGTGACAGGTGCCTGGAGGTTGCGGTAAGAAACGACGGTCCCCATCCCTAACCGGCTGGACTGTTGAAGTTCATGCGGCGCGGGCAAGGTCAACACGCCATCTTCCTTGTCGGTTTTTGCGCTGCTTGGCCATCGACAGCTTTCTTGCTGGATGCTGCCTTCGTATTGCTGCGTGGGCCCGGGCTCATCTTTGCTCCATGAGGTGCGACCGTGAGGGCACGCGCCGAAATGAAGGAGGTACCGCACCAAGACTTCGGAAATGCAGAGGGACCTGAGCACGAGGCAGTTCAAGCTCGAGTCTGGGAGAAGGGTATATTTCGCTGTCGCCGGAGTAGTTCCAGCAATGTGTTCGAGTATAGAGAGCTGGGCTAGGCAGATCTTTTGTCGCTGTGGGCTCAGGCGACCGGGTGGTGGCGGCTTTCTCACACCCCGAGGAGCGCATATCGAAACGTGGGCTAGCTATTCCCAGATTGCGGCCGTGCAAGGTCTCCAAGCCTCCGAGTCCGAAAACCGAGCCCCCAAACCCAGTCAACTCTAAACATTGATTGTAGGGTTGGATATCATATTCTGCTGCTCGGAAGTCTGGAGATTTGTTCGACTTGTCTTGTACGATGAACTTTCAGTTATGCTGAGCTACAGAAGCAGGTTTTAAGATAGTGTCTGAGATGGTGTCCCAAAGAGCTTTCTCAGGAGTTCCAGGATGTTTCTGTGGAGGATTTGCAGGATGGCAGGCGCGAATTTGTGGTTTCTTCGCTGTCAGCAGATTCTGAACTTTCTGAACGGCTACATCTAGGTCGCACTGCTTGGCTCAGGTACAAAGTGACCTTTCTGCCATTGACGCCGGGGAGCAGCGCTCTTAGTGACAGAGAGACGAACAATAGGCGCTTGCAGCTTTCAGCTACTGCCTGCATCTTGGCAAACCAACCCAGGCTTCAGTCTCAAGATCTCCATCGGGCCGGAAGGGGCCGAGGAGGCCTCGATCACGGGGAGCCGGTCAATGATTGAATCCCTCTTCTTCCAGGTAGCTTTTCTTGCGCAAGGTGTCTGAGTTCCGTACGTCTTACCGTGGCAGAGAACCGTTGCCGCATTTTTCGATGTTCCTATGGCCGACCACTGTGGCAGACACTGGAAGGGCAAGCTTTCACGTCGGTGAACAGGCTGTCTGTTTAAGCATGGGCCTGGGCGCCTCTTCACTTTGATAGTCCTGTACATTCCTGTACAGTCTTGCAGTTCCCACCGGCCTTCGTCTGCAGAGGACTTGGGAGGGTGCCCCTTCATCGTGGAGGTGGAGGGCTTGGTGTCTTGTGTTTCTGGACAACACCGGTTGTTTGCAGTGCCACGTCTGCTTTTAGCACATATTCAGAAGACCATGTGGGAATCTCAGGTGAGACCGCCGGCAGTGTACCACGCAATAGGGGTGGCCGTCCCGGCATGACTTCAACATCACAGGGGAGTAGCAAAAGGAACTCATGCCCAGTTCACTTTCATGACGTGAAGGTGATGCAGGTGGCGATGCCCTAGACATCCCTACACCTAGGCCTTAAGTGATCCTGGCACTCCCGAGCCTAGAGACATCGCGCCATGTGTCGCCCTTCCACAGCCGTGTTTCAAGCCAGGAACCGGAGCCGGAGGGCAAACCCCAGCTCGGTGCGCCCTATCAGTGCGAATGCTAGTGCCTGCTAGTGTTGTCACTGACACTTTTGCAAGGCGTCCTTGCAGAGAAAAAGTGGCTGTGCAAGAAGGGCCACTTGATTCCTCTTCGTCCGGGTGGATGATCGAAAGCAGCAAGTCTCAGATCTGACTCGCGCAGGTGCGGGCATGGCAACCCTGTCGTGGACCCCAGCTGAGTGTCCAGCATTGTTAAGATGCTAGGCCGGCTCGGCTGTCTTCCATCATTGTCACGGGCCATGAATACCCGCCCCCCCCCCTCCCGATTGATTCAATCTTTCCGGCAGGCGGCCGAAAATGTCATTGCCGAGAGTTTAGGTTGTAAAGGGGCCGTAGTCTTGCTTGGGAGGGCCTGCTTTCAAAAAAGGTTGTCTTGAGCCATACTGTTTTTCTGTGAGTTGTTTTTGTTTTGAAGGTTTTTTTTAGTTGAGTTTCGGGACTTGTTTGTTTCTTGAGTTGCCGGGGGGTTTTGAAATGCCAAGCCAACATTATTCATTATTCCAGCCCATCTTCGCGAATCAACTCTCAGGAAGCCCTGACAAGCCCTGAGACAAACAAAAAAGTTGGCCGGCTTGAGTATGGTTCTGCTCAAAGGTCCTGGCGAGATGGACGCTTTTCAGACTGGACGGTGCAGGCACCTGCGCTATTGTGACACACACACACACACAAACACCTCGCTGGGTGGGAGTGCAACGGGAATTCTCTGGGCGAAAGAGGCTCTGAACTGCTGTGCAGGACAGAATCAGCAGCGTAGGGCATTGTTCAGTTGCTTTTGGCCTTCGCAACTTGCCCGAGGTTGGCGAGAAAACCTACCACTTGCATGCGTTTCTGCTGGCGACGGCGCCCAGCTTCGAACCAGCCGACATATCCAGAAGGTGTCAGCAGAGTAGCACCAGACGTAGTTTTCTGCTCGTGAAGAATGCTTCGGTTGCTTGAGGCTCGGGCGTCTCTATTCTTCGAGAGCCACATGAGCCTGTGTCTCAGAGTATCGAGAAAGCTTTGCAGGGGTAGGTAGTAGGCCCGTGGTACAAGCCAAGGCTGTCTAGAAACCTTGAAGTCCTTTGCTTGCAGTGTTCAGCCAGTTCTGTGTAAGCATCCGAGCCATGACAGGAGCAGTCCTTCTTCCTCGAACTGTGGCCTTCCCTACTAAAAACTATGTGACGCCCAAAGAAATCTGGTAACACCGACTGAGCCCTGAAGTTCCTTAACTTGATTCGAGGAACCGTGCATTTCTCCACTATTTCTCCGTCCGGCTCCTACTCGGACTCCCAAGCCTCGAAATCCAAGACACCTCGCAAGGCAAGCGAGCACCCCCGAGTCCTTTGAGCTAACATACATACGTACTATGAGGAGCGCAGTCTTAAATTACCCCCATATTAACACCCCCCTCAGCCCAGAGCCTGGAAGGTATGGCCTCGCGAGCTGAGTCGGACGGCAAGGCCGCCAAGGGCAGCGACCTGAGCGAGGCCCGCATCCCGTTGTTAGGCTTGTAGGTCTTCAGCTGTTTGGCGTTTCTAGGGCTTTTAGGGCATTTAGGGCTTTTAGGGCTTTTAGGGCTTTTAGGGCGTTTAGGGCGTTTAGGCGCTATAGGCGGTCTTGGTTACCCTTCCAGCATGAAGGCGACACTTGGAAGCATTCTGCTACTTTGGAACGTCATGTTTGGTAGAGAACAGGCAGCTCGAAACTTTGGCCTGGGGATGTATTCCAGCTTGAGACTTTCCTTGCAGTGTGGTGGCAGCACACAGTGTATGGTATGGTGTATGCTTTGTCCGTTCATTTGTGCTGAACTTTGGTGCGATGGTGCGATGGTTACTGTTCCGAGCCTGGCTTGCTTGTGTGACCCAACTACCACATGCAGGTCTTGCCGCAGTCATGCCACGCAGCCTTCGAGGACGGGTAGCGCGTAAGACGTGTGAAAACGACCTGTGAATTGTATGCAGTGACGAGGCAGAAGAAGGAGTCGGAGCAACTTACAGCTTGTGGCTCACTGCTCTTGGGAGGACGCCCTCGACTTCATGTACTCAGAGAACCAAGCAGCCTTCGAGGCACCTGCGTCGAAGGCAAGGCAAAGTTGGGGGCAAATTGGGCAAAAGGTCTTCTCTAACTCCACGGAGTCCATGTTGGGGGAATGTTTGGGCACTCGAGGCTTTGCTCCTGTTGAAGATTGCCGATATCCTGGGCATCAACAGCCTCTTCGATGCTATGGGCCGCCGGATCGAGGCACCTGACGGTCGAAGCCAGGAGTTGGCTCGAAGGAGTTAACGCTGCCACAAATCATTTGCTGGGTGTCAGTATGTGTCAGTGTTTTGGGCTCTGGAAACTTGAAGGGCTAAGAGCAGGGATGCGCATTTGTTGTCGCGGGGTTTGCAGCAGTTGCACGCACATGTACCATCGTGTACCCCGGCTCAAGAGGCTGCCTTTGCCGACACTGCGCCTCTGCTGCTGGAGCAGTATTGCCGCTTCCATATTCCAGGTACGGATGACGGCGGGAGCCTTAACTTCCAGATCTTTGCGTTGGTCAGGCAGCAAGCCACTCCGATCTCCGATCTGCTTGAGCTCAGGTGCTGCTCTCCGGCAAATCCGCGATGGTGCAGTGGATCTTATCGTCAAGAAGTGCCTCAGCACGGTTTTGGTACCAGGCACATAGGTCTGGAGAAAAGTCGACGCGAAAGAGCCCAGGCGGTCTCAAGGCAACATGCTGAGGAAAGCAGTGCCCAGGTTTCAACCCTTCATAACGAACAACGACATGAAGACAGCCTTGCTGCCACCCGGCCGTCATTCAGCATGGCACTGCTGGGGAACGGTGTGAGGGAGTTGTCTTTCTTGCCTACGGGCCTACAGCCGTTTTCTCATCTTAAGTCGGCCCAGACATCCCCTGCGACCGAACTTCCCAAATCCCAGGCGTCTTCCTGCGCGCGTCTTGGCGGAGATCCTGGATGCCGACGAGCTTCTGGTCGAAAGTGAGGCAACGAGACCAGCCACCTAGTAGCTTAGTAGCTACCAGTCCTGTCACATCATCCTGTGTCTTTGCTGCTTTGTTGTCCTATTTGTGTGCTAGCATGGAGGATGCAGTCTTCGACTTTGTCCTGGATCGGCTCCAGCTTGGCGAGTCGACCGAGCTGGAAGGAGGCCCCCCGCAGCGTGGAGATTGGAAACGATCTCTTAAAGAGCCTGATCAGCCTTAGTTTTAAGAGCGCTTGTTTTGAGTCAGAGGTTGTTTGTTGGCCCCCGCACTAAACACCAGTGCTCTCTGTCAGAGGACACAGTGCCGAGTCCCGCTCTGAGCCACCCGAGACGGGCAAGGCGCAGCGGTTACTGCAACGGCAGCACTTGGTGGGGGGGGGGAGACATCTGAATTTGCCGTTAAAATTTGAAAGGTTATTTGAATGCTTCGAGAATCCTGAGTTGAGACGATGTCGCTGTGTTGTTCTTAGGGTGTCGCTTTGGTTCGGCCATCCGGAGGAAGATGTGCAACCTGTGTGGTCGTGATAGCAGCAGGCAAGCACTTCTCGCCTGGACTACATGGATGAGAGCGATGAGGAGGCATGAGGGCAAGCAGGGTCCCTTTTAAGAGCAAAAGGCAGACAAGGCCTTAAGATCGTAGGCTCAAACAAAAGTCAGGTTGTTGCTTGACAACTCGTGGCAGTGAGCAGCCGAGGCCCTGTGGGAGGAAGTGCGCTGGGCCTATCTCAGCTCGCGGAAGTTTGCCCAGGCATGTGGAGTACAAAACATGTACAAGCTGTACACTGCCAGTGCGGTAGCATCGCATAAGCCCGCAAACCACCCCCCCTAGGTGTCCGGGGGCATTTTCGGAGACAGCAGTGCTCTAACAGGCGCTGGCGCTGCACAAGACCCTTTTGAAGCCACAGGCCGGCAGAGAAGGCAAAAGAATGAAGCAGAGAGACTGGCAGAGAGAATCTACAGAGTACAGAGAATATGCAGATTATGCAGTGACCGTACAAGTGTACAGAAGAGCACACTTGTGCAGAGGTCACCCTGCGAGCGCTGACTGCCAGCGCCTCGAAGCCCTGACGATTTGCATGGTGCATTGATGTTGTGCCGTTGCTGAACGGACCTCACCCTGCTGAGCTTTGATGACTCATGAAATTTGGACTAATGAAATTTGAGCGTGAGTACCCCTACAGAACTTGAGGCCCGGGCTGCGCGTTTCGACCTTGGAGGTGGGCTACGCTAACGCTAGGACTTGTTTTGCCCGGCTGCGAGTCTGCAGCTCGTGGTGCTCCAACTTTGTGCACACTCTGGCAGGCGCGGAAGCGTTCGCCACACTTGGCTACCAGGCTGTCGCGAGGCTCTCAGCGATCATCGGCTCGGATGCAGGGTTTTGCAGTCTTGAGAAGGGCTTGCTCCAGCTCCGCTTTGTGTGTTTTGGCACTAGGTTCCGCGGAAGCCCATCTTGCCACCCGGAGTGCAGCAGCCTCATCCATCCTGTCGGAGTGATTCGAACATCTGCAGCCTGTACAGATCACGAGGCCGCCGCCTAGCTCGACCGAGATTGACTTCTGCTTCCACTACGCGCACTCCGCAGCTTGGCATTTGCGCTGTGTAGCCGCTCAAGAAGGATTCGTGCTCGCTTGTTCTTTGTTTCTGATGTAGCCGTGTTCGATACGAAAAGCACGCCCGAAAACGCTGAGAACTTCAGAAGGATCGCTAGCGCACTCGAACAGGACTGCAACGGAAGAAATTCTTCATCATTCTTTGACCAAGGAGCAGTATGCTTGCGGACAGGCGGGCTCCACGGCCATATTCAGGTCTGCCAAAGCTGTAAGGCCAAGAACAGATTCCTCCTGTGCAGCAATCATGGTGGGAGCCTGGCCGATGCTGCACAAAGGCACAAAGTCATACAACATTTGACATAACCTTGCAGGCACTGCGGTCGCAGCCAAAGCGCATTGGCGATGTTGTCCTGCGAGCCGGCGCCCTGATTTTGCATGCCTTGGCGTGCCTTTTGATGGTGGTGAATCGGTGAAGCAAGATTGCATTGTTTATCTACATGGTTGACAAATCTGTACACTGGAATCAGGACTGCTTCAGCAACCATCTTTCACTTGGAAGAAAACATCTGACAAGCCATTTACGTTGCTTCCAGCGTTCAGGTTCTTGTCTTCCCTGCCGGAACTGATACTGGTGTAGCCAGGCCTGCGGTGTTAGATCATGTTGCAACATCATCAGCTGGATTGCAACGATGTTCAGATGCTCTTGTCAACAACCGCAGTTTCAAGGACGATCTGAAGATATTTGTTTGGTGTGCGGGTGCAGTCTACGGAGGTTCTTGACTGTACAGCTGTTTGCATGACCGGCTCCTTGACAGGGGGTCGCTCTCCGTCTTCCTTGAGGCTGTCCGAACTTCATTGAGTTTGAGTTGAGGTGTTTTTTTTGTTTGGGACAGTTATCATGAACTCGAGAGCTGCGGCTGCGTCTGCCCCGCTTTTGTTGCAGTGAACGGGCCAAATCGATTGCGACCTTTGTATTTGGTGTCGGTCTTCATCGGATCATCGGGGCAAGTCTTCTAGCCAAGTCCTGGTTCAACCTGACCCTTGCTTCACTTGCTTCAGGCTGTACCCCAGCCGCACTGGCCTCGCGACTGGGAGTTCGCCAACATCAGGCCTCGTTGATGGGACATGGGTCAAAGCAGCGCAAGGCAGCAGTGAGTTGTGAGCTTGTGCGCCATCTGTGTCTTGAAATTCCTCTACAGCCTGTGAAGCGGAGCCTGCGAAGCTTTCTGTTCCCGCCGTTGCAGGTACGGCATCGCGTGCATGAAGTGGCCCTCAGGTGAGCGTGCAACATGCAGTTGAAGACTCATGCGGAAAACATTAATCAATAATCGGCATGCAGCACCTGCGGCGCAAGTCTTCTTGATGCTCGCTTCAGCATCCCAACAAAGCCCCTGGCGTCAGCATCAACCCAGCCGAGAGAAGAATTTTAATTTTTTGTTCCGATTCTTGACGCGTGCTCAGGCAGCGGCGAGACCTGTCCCGCTCCAAAGAAAAAGAGTGACCTTTGGACCTTCAAGGCCAACGTTTCATTCATCCTTTCCTCGCGTGCTTTTCTTCCCTGGCTCTAATGCTCCGGTCGCCTTCCTTTCTCTCACCTCTCTACCTATCTCATCCAATTTCTGTATTCTAGCTTGCTTCCTCTCCCTTCTCCTCTCATGTGGCGGGCCGCCTTCCAAAAACATTCTGTTCAGGCCAACCGCCTTGACCGTGGCTGGCATGATTTCCTAGCGCCTGGAGAGATCCATCGATTTCTAGGCATTGGGGTCTTGTCTTGCCCAAAAGCACATCTACTGGCCAGAAGGAGGGTACATGTAGGTCATGTTGCAGCACGGTGCAATGCCTTGGCGAAGCTTTGCTTGTGGTTAACTGCATCGGGATGTTGCGTGTACACATGTGTACACTGAGAGAGGCGACATAGGTGGCCAGATGGCAGCCAGAATCAGCTTGGACTCTCCTTGGAGGCCCTGATGGCTTTGTCTGCATCCGCGGCTCCCTGGAGCAGGAGTGCTTAGGCTGGAGTCTCAGGGACACGAGAGACTTGGGCATGTGAACTTGAGCCCTCAAAAAAAGAAGCTCAAGTCGCTCCAGACCCCAGTCGCATGTTGCATGTTTGTACCAGACGCTGGCAAGGTCGTGCATTCCTCCTGAACGCGCAGAGTGGACATAGTGGCTATTCAGGCTCCATCCCATGTCAGCGCGTTTCATCGTTTGGCCCGGCCCACTATGCTAGAGCAAGCCTCACTTAACTCGCTCGGTGCTCTCTGACTGGCTCAATCTCGCTTGCTTGCTTGCTCACTCGTCCTCTGTGTCTATCTACCTCCGCTCATTCTTCAGAAGTGGAAGGTTTCTTTGGTGTGGGTAGCCTCGTTTCTGACGAAGGTGCTCCTGGCGACGCGGCTGGGTCGTCTGCTTGCCGCCGGCCGTGGGTGTGGGGATCTTAAATAGCCCACATGTTGTCGGTGCCTTGCCAAAGCTCTCTAGAAGAAGCGAGTACCAGCTTTCCATAGCCTCACTCAAAGACAGCTTGTCTGAACAGCCTCCGTGCTGTCCTGAGTGATACTCCGAGTCAGGCCGCGGGTAGCCATGGCCGCCAACGAGCGGTCAGAATGACCCGCAGATGAGGATTCCACCATCTTCCACCGGCACTTTCGCCTGGAGCCTTGAACTCCGGGCCCTGGGTTGGGAAAAATCTTTCTTCTTGCATGCTTGTGTCTTGCCATGTCTTACCTGCTGCGGGAAGTAAACGGCAGCTTTTTTCCCAACCCTTGGTTGCAGATTGTCCGTGTCACCATGCGTGGAGAGAGAGAGAATGTACCACATCCGGCATGAAAGCTGAAGCATGTGAAGCTGCAGCGTGGAGGATTGCGAGTTCATGCAAGTTGTTGCAGTAGCTGGGATGTCTTTCCCTCCGTCCTCGTTAAAATCTCCGAGATGTGGTCGTCAGATGCAGCTCTAATGGCCGCAGCGTAGGACAGTGTAGGATTGCCAGGGCGTCCTGGAAGTCATTAGCGATCATAGGAATGCCGCCAAAGCACAAGCACTGTTAATGTCGTCCTTTTGAAGAACTTCAAACTCCCGAGCTGAGAGCATTCGCCACGCGAGCTGTTGAGTTTGCTATTGCAAGACGTGGCGGCATTCCTGGCTTCTCAACAGTGCGAATGTCACCAGCAGTTGGACGGTTATCGAAGACGAAAGAGGTTGACGCGCAGTGCATCAAGATGCTGTTATCGGTCATCGTCAGCCACCTCTGACACCACAGGGTGGAGGCTTTGATCTGCATTGTGTAGGCATTGCTCAAGTGGTTAACACAGTCGGACTTTGGCAGGGCACGGTTGAAGCATACACTCCTTCAAACATCTGGGCTACGAAGGCTACGAAGTCCAGGAATCAGGCTCAGTCTCCAAGTAGGGCACAACGTCGGACGCAGGGCCTCCGTAGCCACAAGGTGCTTTCTCCCGCATGCACGGGGGAATGTGGGGAACCCCCTCACATGGGGCCCCGCGGCTTGCTCGATGTCGAATGATGCGCTGAGCGAGCCCTCAACGGCTCCAGCCTTGGCCGAGCACCACATGCTAGTGAGCGCTGTCGTTTTTGCGTGCAACCCCTTCGCAATCTCTGGCAACCTTGTGTGTGCAAATACATGCAAATGACCCTCTCTCTCTCTCTCTTTTTATCTGTTTATTCTCCCCTTAAGAACTTGCTTCTCTGCTAGGGTGAAGTCAGATTTGCTAGAGAACTTCGCGCACTACCCTTCTCACTCGAACTTTGTTTGTGCTGGGAAAATCCAGGCTTGACCGCCGGAATGTCACTGCAGGCGTTTGGGATCGTTTGGGAGGGCTCTGGGTCTGAGAGGTTGAACTTTAATGCTTCTGGAAGCACTTGGAGACGGCTGTATCGCTTGAATCTGCACTTCCTTCTCTGCCTGACTCCCAATAGTGGGGACAGCCAGGCTCCTGCCCGTGTGGCAGCCACGTGCGACAGGCTGGCTGGCTATGGGATTGAAGAGACAGTAGGAGACGAAAGCGTACCGAGACACCGAACTCTTCGCTTCTGAACCATTGCCATAAATCACTTAGGAGGTAGACCATGCTTCATATGCACATGCTCATTGTCGTATGTGTGTTGATGTACTTCACATGCCAGTACGGATGCATCCCAGAACCAGCAGATCCAGGAGATCGCTTCGGAGGCGTAGGGCAACTTCGTGTCTGTGTGGATTCCTCCAGTGTCTTTGCGTGTGCTGAGACCAAAGACAGGTAGACAGGCTAAATGCAGAAGGAGTGCAGAGAGTCGGACATGCACCACTTGAGTGTGCGGAAAATATGCTGAAGCCGCGCACTTTCAGCTGTACATTGTTCGTGGGTCGTGGCAATCCAAGGCTGGTTGGCATTGGCCAGGGGTTGGCATGAGCCATGCAGCGGTTCAGATTGAGTCGCGCATCGTCGTGCTGCGGTTTCTGACTTGCTTACTCGTACGTGCGATGCAGGTCCTTCGGCTGCGGCTGGTGCAGTCGCAGTACAAGCAGCTGGAGGTGCTCTCATGTGCCGCTAGGTTTGCCAGTTAAGGCAGGGGTCAACAACGACTGCAGAGCATTGGTAGAAGCTCCGAGCAGACGCTACGAGGCCCTGATGCCCCAAGCAATCACCCAAGAGCGCCATGCGCCGCAGGGCCAGCTACGGGCCTCGTCCGAGAAGCTGCGGGACATCCTGCCGGAGAAGGCCTCCAGCTGGCACAATTTAAGTGTATCTTGGCTGTTGATTGCTTGTCATGTTTGATGCAGGTACTGTTCAGGCGTAGGATAAAGGCATCGGATCGGCCTTACAAACATAAGGCCTCTCCGACCACGGCAGCCATAAAGCAAAGGCAGAATCGGTTCGATGCCCCAGCCTTTCGCCTCATGAACCTCTTAGGCCGTAACCCCCACAAAGCCTAACACCCTGACCTATACACGCTGTAAGCCCTACCCCCACAACTCTGAAGGCTGGAAAAGCCGCAGTTCCCAAACCCTAAACCTTGACAGATCATTGCTTCTTGTGCGGGCCTTTGCTGCGTTCTCAAGGGCCCCCCCCCCTGAGCCAGGCGCCACATTTCTCGCAGTACCTGGAGCAAGGCACGGCCTTTCCGGGGCGGCTTCAAGATGCTTTTGCCAGATGCTCTTAGAAGATTCAGGCGAGAGGTGGTAGACTTCCTTCCAGGCCTGCGTCCTGGGGGCACCGTCGGCACGCCTCTGCCTTGGGTGCACTGCTGCGATGGGCATGGTTTAGGATTGTTTAGGAAGCCTCAAGCGGCACAGATCCTCAACAGCTTTGCGGTGTGTTTTTTGCGATCTTTCTTGCGATCTTTCTTTGCGATGTTTCTTTGCAATGTTTCTTTGCGATGTTTGTCACTTTTGTCACGAAAGTTCCTTAACTTGCCCTCATCGCTTACGTTCAGTGTCCCTCAGTATCCCTCAGTGCACACTGCTGGGATGGGCTTTGGGTGGCCTTGTTTTGCATTTGAAGCTCCTGCTGCTGCTGCTGAGCTTTCGGTATGGCTGTGCTGCTCGTTTCGTCACCAAGATCAGAGCTGGTTTCGTGATGTTTCGTGCATAAGACACTTCCCAAAGCCTGGCACCTTGTTGAAACCCTGGATGCGTCCCGTGTTCACACGTACTGCGTGCTGCGGTTTGTATGCTCACAGCAACACAGGATTTGGCAGGGGTGCTTGCAAGGCTGCCTCGTAGTGCAGAAGTGCTGGGCACCCAACCCTCAAGCCCTTTGCTTGATTTTGCTGCTTGTATAATCGGTCTTTGATCTGCAGAGACGTCCAGATGAGAAAGACAGAGAAACTGTCGACCATGATGCAGAAAGTTGAATTTGCGCAGTGGCTCTGATGCGGCTGTTGTGATGAAACCTGCAAAAGCACATCATGCTGAGCGGAGGTTGCGCGGTGATGCTTGCGGGCTGCGTTTCGCGTTGACCGTTGACCGTTGTCCGTTGACCGTAGAATTGAATTTAACTTTCCGTGTGCACAGTGAACTCGGTGAACAAGCAAGATTTCAAAGAGAGTCCAACATCTACGACTAATTTTGCCTGAGTTGCGTCTGGGATATCACGGAGTCTCAGTGGCTCTGACACAGGATTGCTGGTGTTCAACAGACCTCATGGATGGTGCGGCAAAGCGTACGACCGACATGCAGCGCAGTGTTGCTGTGGCTCGTTTGTGTTGCCGATGTCGATAGCATGTGGCAACCGATGTTGAGAACTGGCAAGGATTTCGGTTTTTGAGGGTCGGCTTTTGGCTGTTGCCCTTTGTACCAGCATTCTATTGCACGTCAAGCTGCGGCCGACAGTGATGCAGAAAATTGAATTTGCGCAGTGGCTCTGATGCTGCGGTTCTGATGAAATCTTCCAAAGCACATCATGCTGAGCGGAGGTTGCGCGGTGGCTTGATGCTTGCGGACTGTGTTTCGCGTTGACCGTTGTCCGTTGACCGTAGAGTTGAATTTTACTTTCCGTGTGCACAGTGAACTCAGTGAACAAGCAAGATTTCAAAGAGAGTCCAACATCTACGACTAATTTTGCCTGAG